CTCCAGCCCTGGCCATGTGCTGCATGCAGGTTCTGTCCCTGTCCACTGCCCTGGTGAGCTCTCCACACTGAGCACCAAGCACCAGCAGGACTGTCCAGTTCCCAGAGGTGGGCCTCGGGTCAGACCCTCCAAGGCACCCAGGTTGCCCATCCTTTCGTCTGGCGATGCCCAGGGAAATGCTAGAACTAACTGGAACCAGGGTCTTTAACACGCCACTTCCTGCCCCAAGGCCAGATGGGTTAGATGTGGCTGGACAGGGGACAGCTCGTGGGGAGGGCAGGTCCATGGGACACAAGGACAGAGAGATTGCGACTCTCCAACCAACAGAGAGAAGCAAGGCCTGCAGCTTTGAATCCTTCCAATTTTGCAGCAGTCGACCCTTAGTCGACCCAGGATGCTGAGATCCCAGGATGCTGTGGAGTGGAGCTCCAGATTCTGAGAACAACTCACTCTCACAGTCTAGAGTTGGAAGGAGCCTTTAAGGTCACCAAATCTGTTAGTTAACAGCCTGATGTCCCCACATCACCCAGTCAGCCTTCTGCCCCCCTAGTGCGACGCACTTTTATGGATGCAAAGGCAGTGGAGATGTAAAATAAATGCTTGAATTTTAACTGCCTCTTTGCCCCGTGCAGGAGCACTGGTGTCCTGGTTTCTCAAAAGCCGGGGTCTTCACATGCATTCTCATGGCTGTGGGGACAGCTGATTCCTCCTGCCAGCCTGAGCAGGGGTGTCCAGGATGGTCATCCTGACCTGCCGCCTCCTCTTGCTCCTCCTCTGTTGGTCCCTGCCACACCCCAGCTCCAGCTCTCAGCAGGTGAGGCAATGGGGACCAAGGGGCCCATAAGGAGAATGTCTGGAGCAGCCACTGGCCCAGGGAGCCGAGCGGATATTGATTTGGTCTATGGGAGCGAGGGGACCCGTTAAACGTGTGCTGTTAAATTGCTCTGCCTGCAGCCAGCCATCCTGCAGGCGGGGATGGTCCAGCTGGCTATGAGCGCCTGGTGGAGGTGTCTGAGACACCCCTGCTCTAATGTGCTAGCTGGGGCCTGGTCCTGCCCTTTGCTGTGGTGCTGGCTGCCCATGGGTCAGTTCATCTCTCTCTCTCTCTCTCTCTCTCTCTCTCTCTGTGTCTATCTGTCTCTGTCTTTGTCTCTGTCTCTCTGTGTCTGTCTGTCTGTCTGTCTGTCTGTCTGTCTGTCTGTCTGTCTCTCTCTTTCAGCTTAGCTCTCGACCACAGCAACAGCACCCCGTCCCTGCAGCTTTCCTGACCACCTTTACTCCACACCTGACACCCCAGAGGAACAGGGTGTCCCTCCCATGTATGCTGTAGTGCTGAGGACTGTGGCCCCTCTCCCACACACAGGTGGGGCCTTGGACGTGCCAGGGGAGGGGGCTTAGTTCACTGGGGAGGAAGGAGCTGGAAAACACGGGCTGAGTTGGGCCTGGTGGCATCCCCATCCCCATGTGGGGGCAGCACTTGTTTCCCAGTCCACACTGATGCCAGGAGCTGTGCAGTCCTGATTGTTCTCTCTCCTATGTGACGCCAGCTCCTGCTTAGCCAGCTGGGTCTGGTCCTGGTCATGAAGGAGACTGGCCATGAAGACTAAGAACGGGCTTGGGAGTTGGAGCCAGGCAGTCAGCTCTGCCCCTGATGGCTCTGTAACGTTGGGCCAGGGGCTTCTCTCTCATAGCCTGTGCCTTTCAGTCAAACAGAAATACTGAGCCTTGGCCTTTAAGGTAGCTGTGAAAATTAAATAAGACAAGGGCTGCAGAAGCCCAGAGAAGGCCAGTGGTTTCCTGGAGTCACACAGCAGGAGAGCAGAAAAGCTGCTGGAGTTGGCCCAGGCCTTCCTCCACCCCACCCAGCCTCTCTCAGGTCTGAGGCGTGGCTGGGACTTGCACAGGTAGGAGGGGCCTCATCTGGGTGACCAGGCAGCTGGCCTCAGGGGCCTCAGGAACAACAGACCCGGACTTACTTGGGCGACTTAGGCCCCTTGGTGGTTCTCTGGCCTGCGTGACCTCACTGGGGGGCCTTATCTGACCATTCCCTCCTTTCCCACCAAACTAATCTCTCTGTCTTTTCAAGAGTTCCTGTTTCCGCTCTGCAGCCTTCTTGTCTCTCCCATGACTCCGGTCAGCCCCGCAGTGGTCAGGGCCGCCTCGGTGTGACTGGTGCTATCATTCCCAGGGTGTTTCCATCTCCCCAGGGCTCTTGGGGCTTTGCAGAGCCCTATTTGGGATTCCTGTCCTTTGTGCAGGAGGTGGCGGAGGGCAGGGGGAACGCCCAGGTGAACAGTCTGCTGTGACTATGTGTAACCTCCCAGGTCAGCTCCCAAGGCTCTGGAGTCCTCTGGGCTGGACACTGGCCCAGACCCTTCCTGACATCCAGGGCTGTGGCTTAAGGATTTGCTCAAAAACTCCCAGGCACCAAGGTTGTGTGGCTAAAAGTCTGAACACAGGTGGCTCCAGAGCGGCTGGGCCCTAGGGTTCCAGAGCCTCAGGCACTGTGGCTCACCGAGTGTGAGGCCAGCTGCTACCTTAGAGCTTCACCTGATGGGATAAGGAGCTGCCCAGGGGCCAGCCAGAAAGGTGCAGGGCACTGTCACAGAACTGCGGACTGGCCAGCAGCAGGCACACATGGTCCACTGAGCCAGGGACAGCCAGGTCTCCCTGCCAAGCCTCAAGGGCTCCCCTCCTGACCCAGGCCACGTCTTCTGCCTTCCACGCTGCTCCTGTGTGTGCCCACCGGAAAGAGGTATGAGAAAGAACAAGTCTGGACCAGAGCCCCACGCTGAAACTTCCTTGGGGCTTGGGGCATCCAGTGCTCCCCCAGAGCCTATTTCCTCTCCCTTACTGGGGGTGACTGCTGCGAAGAAGACCCGGGACAGTGTGTTTGGAGCAGTGCACAGAAGGTGCACAGTAAATGGCAACATTTATAATTACTCTGCCCTCTCTAAGAGCCCCTGGAGGGCTTTGTTCTGGTTTCCCCCACCTGCCTGTGTTAGTGACCACCCCCAAATGCAACATTCCTGAGGCATGCTTTGCACTCAGCTCCTGGGGCCCAACAGGTGCATGGGGCTCGGCCTAGCCTGTGGGGAACCCAGACTTGGGTGGGGGCAGATACAAGACACAGCACAGGCTTCAAAAACACTCCATATCAGCACAAGGTCGATGGGAGCACAGAGGCTGTGGGAAGCCAGCAGAGGCCAGGGCCTATACTGAGGGTGGTCAGGAAAGGCTTCCTGCAGGAAGGGGCTGCTCTCTTGGGCCATGAAGGAGGGCAGGATATCGCTGCCCAGCCACTGGAGGGCAAAAGTGACATGGTGATTACTGTAAAGGTTCAAAGGGCTTGGGGGCTTGGTGGAAAGGGCTGCCAAGAGGGCTATTCCAACAAGGACCACAGTCCTGGTCTGTGCCCAGAGGCAAAGGTGAACTGGCTGGTCACAGGTGGCCACAGGGCTGGTGTTCCACTGCTATGACTGGAGTGGAGGGGAACACTGCAGGGAACTGGGGCTGGATTTTGGGGTTCATGAACCTGGCGGGGGTGGCACACCCCAGGAGTAACAGGCAGAGGTGCTGGCCAGCCCTACCCACACTCCCATCAGTATCAGCCTGTGACCACAGGAAAGGTCCTGCTCATCTCTGGCTTCCTCACTTGCAACCCGACTAGAGGACACCCTAAGAGGTATCTGGAGGCTCCTTCCACCTTGGGATTCTGTGACTCAGCCACCCCCACTGCTCCGCCACCCTACAAAGCACCCCCTCCCACCCTGAGGCAGGTCCAGGCCTCATGGGTGCCATTGCACCTCAGGATGACCTGGGTCACTCACTAAGTCTGCCCAGCCTTAGTCTTTAGCTGAGAGGAGTGAGTCCAGCCCTCAGTCTCCACCACAGGAAGCCACACATAGAAACCCTCTAGAACATTCTTTTGCAACCTTTGTTTTATGTGGTCTCCCCATGGGCAGAGCGGGCTATGAGTGGTTAGTAGTTTTTCCACCTTGCCCCCACCCCCACCCCTGACCTCCACCACCTGCTATGGGCAGGCCCTGACATGCACACTGCAGGAAATGACAGTGAAGTTAGTTCCTGTGACAGTCCTGCCACCCGGGATCCTGTCAGGACCCTTCACACGGTCTCCTGCCACTTCTCCTTTGTTCCTTTTCCTTTACATCTCTGCAGTCTCCAAGGTGGAAGCGCCCGAGACCCAGGCCTTGGTCCTCTCCCCTTCAAGGGAGCCCACCCATTCCCTCAGCATCTTTCCTCAGAGTCCCAGGCCTCAGTGCTGGCCCTTCTATCCAGATCTGCCTAGTGTATGCACTCAGAGCGTAAGTGACACTGTGACCCACAAGTCCAGGTCTGAAAATCTGAGCCCATCCTCGTTCCACACCACCTTCTAGTCAGCCCCTTCATCCTTCCCAGTGTTCCCGCCCAGACCCAGACAGTCCCCCTAGGGCTTCCTTTGCCTGACACCCTAAGAGAAAGAAGAAAACAAATCTTAGTGGCTCCACTTTCAAAGCACAAACAGAATCCAGCAACTTCTCACCACATCTACAGCATGGTTCAGACCCCAGCCGCCAGCCTTGGTCACCACCAGCTCTGTTCTACAAGTGGGGAAGCCCAGGTGGGCAAGGCTTGCCCACAGTTGCACAGAAAACCCCTAGGGGCAGCTGGAGCCTGGGCCTGGCCCCTGCATGTGCCCCCAGCTCCCCATGGTGGGTTTGCTCCTGCAGCTGTCTTAGCAGGTCTGACTGCAAGGTCCGGCTGCACTGTGTTCCTGCGTCCCAGGGGAACAGACGCTGCCAGCTGGGTTTATGTTTCAAGACATCTGTCCTTGCCCTTGACCAAGGAAAACTGGGGCCAGGGCCGGGTGTGGGGGAATGAGGGGGAGTAGGGACATCAGTGGGAAGCCGCCTGCCTGGAACCAGAGAATGCACTCACCCTGCCCAGATCTGCCCAGGTCACTGGAGGAGGCCAGAAACTGTAGAGCAGGCTGGGGATCATTCAGCATTTATTTCATACAGCTGTTTAAGAAGCTTGTTTAAAATATAGATCATTATATATATATATATATATACACATACACATTTATATATAAAATATATAAAGAGGAACTGAGGTAAACCACCCCAAAGAAAAAGCTATGTTTCATAAATAGTTCTGTAGCTCCCACACCCCAAAGGAAAAAAAGAAAAAAAAAATCAAAAAACAAAAACAAAAATCAAAAAACATTTACAACCCAAGCTAGTGGTTCCATTTGGTGGGCCGAGGGCCCGTAGAGCATTCCTGAAGGCTGGTCTCCGGGCCCTGGAAGGTCACGTCCACTCGGTCTTGCAATCCCTTGCCCCGGCTCCTTGGACCAGCCTGGAAGGCGGCGCCTGGGCACTCCAGGGCCTGAGCTACTAGGTTATTTTTAATCTTGTCGGTTTCCTTTGATGTCCAGCTCTCCTTCCAGGGTGAGCAGACCTTCTGTCCCGGGTAGCTTCCAAGGGGGCAAAGCCCAAGCTGCCTGCTGCGCACGCCTGGCATCAGGAATTCGCAAGGAAAGGTCCCTGGTGCATCTGCAAGCCCTGCCGCTGCCGCACCCCTGCGTGCAGAAGTCCCACCCTTACTTGCAGACATAGCGCTCTACCATGCGCTCACACCTGCGGCAGGTGACGTAGCAGCACCAGTGGTACTTGCAGTGGCACCGCTCCACCACGCGGTCTGTGTAGGGGTTGTAGCCACGCCCACAGCACATGAGGTCGCAGCTGTCACTGCCATTGGAGGTCTTGTTGCACTGCCTGGAGGGTGGGGGTGGGGACAGTGAGTGCTCAGTCCCCCCACACTCAGTGCTGGAACTCCCAGCCCAGCAAGGGACAACCTGCCCAGGGACCCAGCCTCCAGGAAGGAGGATTGATCTCAGGAATTTTAAGTAACCCTCTTCCCTCAGGGTACTTCTGCCTTCTCCCTGTTTCCAATAAGCTATTAACAAAATGCTTCAGCTCTTTGGTTTCTAGAGGTGTCTTGTTTCCATTTCTTCTACATACTGGAAGGCCCTGCAGTCCCGTCTAATCATCCTGCCTTCCTAGTTAATCTTTACTTATGCCGGAACAGATGTGAGGCTCACTTTTAGAATCCTGGGAAAAGTTCTGAACACTAAAGATGACACTGAGCTCAAAGCAAAGTGGGCTTGGGCCCTGTTGGTGGGAGGAGGGGACTTCTGCCATGGCTGCTGCCCTCAGGACCTTATCTCCTCGGAGGTCAGCAGGCCCAGGGCTGGGAGGCACCACTGTGCCCTCACCTGATGAAACAGGCTGGCCTAAGGGTGGAGGCCACTGCCACGCCCAAGGATCCTGGGCAAGAAAGGCCACTACACGCCTCCCCTGAGCCACTCGGAACACATTGCTGGCATCCGAGGTCTGGGGGTACCAGGCAGCCACACAAGTATCCCCACAGCCATGTGAACTGAGGCGTCCAGAATGTCAGAACTGGGCAAGCCTTAGAGATGACTGAATCCAATGCTCATCTTTACGGATTGGGAAATGGACACAGAGGATGGAGAAGGACGTGGCCGAGTCACACAGGCTGACCACAGGAGTCCGAAAAGCCCAGGAAGACTTCCTGGGTGAGGAGGCGGACTTATCTAGCTGAGTCATAAATAAGCAGAGAAGGGAAAGCTTGTGGGGTGAGGGGAGAGCCTGAGTGAAGGCTCAGGACCTGGTGCAAGAACTGTGAGAGGACAGAAGCTAGGACAAGGCTGGGCGGCCATGGGGTGAGGGCGAGGAACCCTTGGCAGAGTCACAGGCAACCTCTAACCAAGCTATAAGCCAGAGGAGCATCAGGAAGAGCACACGCCCGAGAGCCAGGCAGACCTGAGTTCCACCCCAGCTCTGCTTTCACTGGCTGTGTGACTTGTTACTTTGCCATCTGGCACCACGAGCCCCCTAAGCCCTCCTCTAGGCCTCCTGCTGACCATACCACCCCAAAGGGCAGGAACCAGGCCAGTGCCTTTTCTAACTCTTGATCTTCGTCATGCAAAATCTGAACCCTGGCCTCCAGCATCAGAGCCAGGCTGAGGCAGTGCTTGGGATAGGAGTTGGGTATCAAGGGGCTGTGGGCCAGGCCAGGCTCCTGGGAGGTCTGGGAAGTAGAGGCACAGGTGAGGGAGGGAGGGAGGAGGCTTTCCAGGAGCCTCTAGAGGCTTACGCAGCCTCAGTTTCCCCAGCAAGGGGCCAGCCTCTGGAGCGATGCCACCCACGCACGCAGCTGCTGATGGCCAGACCTACTCACCTCCAAACCACTGCATGCCCAGCTCTCACCAACAGGCCACATTCCCTCTTCCAGGAAGCCTTCCTGGATATCCAGGCTGAGTCAGGGCCTCTGAGACTTCCCTCACCTCTGGGTTCCCTTTTCCTATCACAGCTTTGGGTCTCTCTCCACCTTCACCCTGCTGCTTCCTTCTCAGATCTCGCTCTTTCCCATCTCCCAGCCCAACCCATTCCATCCTCACACTCCCCGACGCCCTCAATCTGGCCTCCAGATGGGAGCTAGGCCTCCCCACAAAGCCCCATGCCCCGGCTGTGGGGATAGAGCCCCGAAGCCCGCCCTCACCTCCTGGAGACAGGAACGTGGGCTGTGGAGGAAGCAGATGCTGGCTGCGCACCAACTATGTGCCACACTCGTTCCCAGCGCCCGCTCCCTGTTCAGAACTCCTCAAGCCCACCGCACACCACTTTTGTGGAATGCTATTAGGGGCTTCTCAATAAAATAGTTCCCTGGCCAGCACCTCTGGGAAACACAGGCTTAATCAGATCTGTACTGTGGCTTCCTCAGGACCTTCTTTATGCAAGCATACATCCTGTGCCTGGCGCATGGCCCTGAGTGTGTCCCAGCCACTCCCGGCCACACAGCTCTCTGTCCTAGGGGCTCAGGACTCACTTCCTCCAGAGGGTGCTCACCTGCCCCACCAGCCCCCAGTAGGCCTGCAGCCACCACCAGGCCCCTTCTCATCTGTCTTGGGTCAGGATGGAGTCATCTGTGGGGAGCCCAGCCCAGCTCTGAAACTGGAGGCCAGGTGGTCCTGGGGACACATGACACCTGGGGACCACGAGGACCACTTGCACGAGCTAGGGGCGCAGGCACAAGTTTCTCCACAGAAGGCAGCAGATCCTGCTCTCCTTTGCCTTTGCAGACTCCCAGGGTGGTCATACTCTGGCTGCTGCCTCCACCTTCCCTGTGCCTCTTGGTTCCTCTCTTGTCCCACAAGCAAACAGTTGGACATTTATCCTTCCTCTGTTCACTTGCCAAACACTTGCTGGGTGCTCTGGCAGCCTCCTCTTCTGTCTCCTGATCTGGTCACTGCCTTGCCCCACAGAGGGGAGGTACAGCAGAGGCCTCTTACAGCCTCCATCCCTGGGACCCTTGCTGGGAAGGGGTACACCTCCAGGACTTCTGCAGGACACCCTTGGGACCTCCCCTCAGCTTTCCTGGGACCACCCCCCTCCATGTAGGCTGAGTCCCACTGTATGCCCGGGCCTGAGCTGGGACAGTGTTGGGGGTGTGCTGGACCTTACCTGTCTTGTGTCCCATGGGATCCCACCTTCTCGTTCTTCATGCAGAAGTCGGGTGAGCTCTGCAGGTAGACGAGTTCGGAGTCCTTCACAGGCCGGATATCCAGATCCTTGGGCACCAGGTGCTTGCGCGTGCCCATGGGTCGGTGCACAACCTTGGTGGCTGAGAGGTACCGGGTCTTGAGGTCGGTAGCCACGTCTCGAAGCTCTGGCAGCCCTTTCCAGCAGGTGCGTATGGAGCAGGAGCCTGATACCCCATGGCACTTACACTTCACTTCCAGAGAGGCACGCAGAGCCTGCAGACAGTGAGGGGTGTTGGGTGGAGCAGCCAGTGTTCCCTCCCCACCTGCCCCAGGACCCGGGGCCCCACGCCTGGCTGGGTCCTCTCAGCATTGCCCACTTGAGCCTCAAGGGATCAAGTGCTTAGCTCAAAAGCTGGGAGGCTGTATGGGTCGTGCTTCAACCTGGGTACAGCTGAGAGGGGTGGGGGGGATTTGCAAGGATAATGGATCCCACTCAGCACACACTGTCTGTACCAAGTGCTCCAGTCATCACTCGGCCCTTCCAGGAGGTATCACCATTTACCCCATCTTAAAAAGAGGAATCCAAGGTTCAGAGAGGCTAAGTCTCACTTTAAATACTGCTCAGCTAGAAAACGGTGGAGCTGGAAACTGAACCCAGGCCTGAGGGTGATTTCAAAAGCTGTGGCTTTTAATCATCTATGTCTTTTCTTGTTGAGAAAGTGAGGACCCAAGCAGGGAAGGAGGGGAGGGAGTTGGGGAGGAGTGAGTGGGAAGGGAGGGAAGGAGAGGCAGGGGGAGGGTTGGGGCCCCCCTCCTGTCTTTCCCCAGTTGGCGCATCACCACTAGGGCCACTGTATCCTTTGGTGCCTTGTGGGCATGCTACTCCTGCCTTGCAAATAGTTCCTTGGTAAGGATGAGTGAGATGACACACCAGAAAAGGTGTGGTGAGCTACAAAGCTAGTTAACGCTGGTTCTGAAAAATCAGGATCAACTATGATAGCCAGGGGAAGGCTCAGGCCTAGGGGCTTGGGGAGACTCTAGCTTTGGCTTCAAATATCATTCATTCTCACCACCTCCCCTGGGCCACAATTTCCCCATTTGTGTATGGGGAGCAAGAGTCAGATCCCTTCTGAGGGTCTGTCTGTCTAACCTCAAGCTCCTCCTTTGTGCAGGACTCACAGCTCATGCCCAGACCTGTCCTGTCTTCCCTCCTGCCTGCCCTATACAGAAAGGTCCTGTGTCATCAGGGTCCACTTTCTGCATAGGGAAACCAAGGCACAGAGTGGGCATGGACTTGCTCCAAACTACTCAATCAGGGAGTTAGTGAGGGAACTGGTTAAGGTCCTAGGGCTCCTTGTCTCTGGTCAGTGGCAGCAAGTGGGAACTGAGGGAGTTCATTTGGGTATAAAAGCTAGAATTTGCTAAGCAAGGCCTGTGAAAACACAGGACTGCGTAAACATGGCGGCAGGCACCTGCCACATGGAGTCACCAGGGAAAGGGGAGTGAGACTGCTCCTGGGTGTGAAGTGGGGTGTGGCCGGGAGCTTCTGAAGCCATAGTGTGCCAAAGCTAAACTGCAGCATTTGGGACCTTGCTGACTCCTCAGGCAGCCCTGCTGGGCACAGCAAGCCCTCCTCAGATGACCTCAGAACAGGCAGACCCTTCTCTGCACACGGGGGTGGGCAGCCTGTGTGGCCTAAGTCCCAGCCAGGCCCAGTGATGGGCCCGCAGTGTGATTCAGTGTCAGTTTCCCAGGCCATCCCAGAAGCCCCACCCAAGGAGACCAGAAGAGAAGGTGAGAACAAGCAGGCCTCTCAGCGAGAGTCCCACAGAGCTCAGCTCTGCTCTGCCTTCGGCCTTGGCTGGGCCAGGCCACCTAAGCTTTCTGCCTCCCTGGCATACAGGTAACTGCATTTTGGAAGCTAGGCTGGGCTTGGGCACCCCCCACTAACCCCAAGGAGATGATGGCTTAGCATAAGGCTCCACTGCCCACATACCACTGCATGTCCCGGAGGAAGGGGTGAGGCCCACATCAGGTAGGACTGGACCCCCAACCCCCATTTTATAATGGGAACAACTGAGGCTGGAGCCCAGCATCACTTGGTGAGTTTAGAGCCAGAGCCGAGGCCAGAACTCAGAGGTCCTGTCCCCTCACCCAGTGGTCCTTCTGCCCCAACAACCAAATTCTGGGGGAGCCCTTGGGGGAGGAGGGCCAGGCGGACCCGAAGCACTGGAGGGGGCAGAGCTGAGGGATGTTGCAGGTGGTGACGGCCCGCCCCCACCCCTCCACTGGGGACACTGCTGGCCCTTTCCAGCCAATGGCACAAGCACACCATCGGGGCGGGTGGGGTGGGTGGTTACCTGTCTCCCCACTTCACTGTTGTGTAGACGCATCAGTTTATTGGCTTGGGATCCTGTTTTTTTCACCTTCATAGGAGCATCGGAAAACTTGGCCCCCATGAGGAGCCCGTAGCTGAGGTTGTCTGCACATCCTCCCCAGCGGTTCCCGGGCCCGGGTGGCTCACCTGGCACAGGGCCGCAGGAGCAGCCGGGCAGGTCGCCAGAGGTGCAGGCCCGGGCGATGGCGTGGCTGATGGTGGCAGCCGACAGCGCATACACGAAGGCTGACTCCCGGGTCCCTGTGGGGTCAGAGGTCGTGGTCAGCAGGGACACCTCCTCCCCACCCACCTGTGGGCTCAGGCAGAGACAGGGGCTGGACTGCATCAGGACCATTAATCTGTCATGTCTTCTCCCCTACTTCTCCCACAAGTCCGTCAGCTACCAGCACACGCACGCTCAGCCCCACACACCCAGAGGCACACCACACTCTCCTGCATGAGCTTGCAGACCTTTGCTCTGGCTTCTGCTTGCCTGCACTAGCGAGTGGCTCTCGACAGAAGAGGAGACTCCGGCCCTGAATGCCACCAAGAAGTCATGACCTGGTACAGCAGGCGAGTGTGCAGAGGGCTGTTGTGGGTTGAATTGTGCTCCCCCAAAAGGCATTTCCAAGTCCTGACTTGGGGTACCTGTGAGCATGACCTCATTTAGAGCTGGGAGCTTTGCAGCTGCTACAGAGTAAGACAAGGTCGTCCTGGGTGGGGGGCTTCCTGAGTCATGGCCAGCTTAGAAGAGGGAAGCTAGGGGAATGGCCAGAGACGACTCCTCCCTCTAAGACTCCACTGCCACAGCCCCTGAGTGCTTTGGAAGAAGAGCTTGAGGAGCACAGCAGACGGGGCCTGTTCTGACGGCCTAGCAGGCAACGAAGAGCTTGTAGCCTTCAGTCAGTGGCACAAAGGGCTGCCTGCAACCATCGGAAGCCAGGAAGGTGCAGGGGTGGGGGGGTGACCCTGCTGCCACCTTGACTGCAGACTTTCAGCCTCCAGAATGGGGGATATCACATTTCTGTGGTTTGAAGCCAGCCTGTCCGTGACACACTGTGGCAGCAGCCCGAGGAAATGAACACAGAGCCAACACAGCCCACTGGGGTTGTCCTGGGCCTGGGGCTGGGCCTGGTTGCATCTCTTAACTAGAAGCTGCTTTCCCTTCTGGAGCCTCAGTTTCCACAGCTGCAGAACAGGAGATAATACCTGCCTCACAGGTAAGGAGCTCTGCCAAGCACTGCACAGCCCTGAGCTGGTGCTGTTCAGGATCCGTGAGAGAAGGTATTACCATGTAGGGGACAGCTGAGCGCCGTCAGGGTGTTTCTGCCTGTCAAAGTCTCTATTGTCCCAGGTCCCCTCCCCCATCTCCTCCTCACAGCTGTCCGGCCCCTAACCATTTTGTGAATGGCACAGCAGTTTCCTTTGGTCTGCTCTTGGATGGCTGGGGGCGCACCTGTGGACTAAAGGGTGGGCTTCATCTGCTTGTTCTCCCAAAGTAAGCAATGACTCTGGGTGTGTGCAGGCCTCTTGAGCCCTTCATTCCTGAGTGAATTAGGGCTCAGGCTGCCCCATGCACTCATCCATGCTTCTGCCTTCGCTGATTCATGCCTAACAGCAATATCTATGGACACATCTGCCCGCACTTCCAGCCAGCCATGCCTGCCCACATCCATCTGTGCTTCCGCCCTCCTCCTCATGCATCAATCAATGGACCTGCAAAGCCGTCTAGCCATCCATGGATGCATCCACCTATCCAAACACACAGACGTGTGTCGGAATCCCTCCTCTCCCACCCACACATGTTCAGCAGCCCCACAGCCTCCTACCTTACCTCTCTCCAGGTCAAGCAGGTAGTTGGGGGCGAGCTCAATGGAGGAGCAGTTCCAGCGCATGTCAGCAAAGGCCCTGCGGCAGGCCTTCATGACCTCTCGGGCGGCGTGCACGATGGTGTGCATGAGCTCCAGGTTGCTGCGGCACAGCTGCACCTGCGCTGACACCAGGCCCTCCAGCTGCTTGCAGTGCTGCGTCTGGTTCAGCGCCAGGGCTGCCGGTGTCTTGGACAGCGCTCTGCACATAGCCAAAAAGAGGCAACGGAAGGGAGACTGGGCCATGAGCTGCCATGGTACCTCCACCACCCACTCCGCCCTGGCTTTTCCCCTGATGGACTCTGGAGCCTTTCTTGGAAAATCCAGGATGTCAGGAGGGAAAGTATTACTTGGTAGAGCAATGGTTCTCCCTCCAGCCCCTGTGTGATGTGGGGCGCATCAGTGCCCCTCTCTGGGCCCCATCCATCACACAGGTCCACAGCATGCAGCCTGCCTAAGCTGTACGACCGCACTAATAACAGTTCTGCATGCCGCACAGTGCACCCGGCCTCCACAGCTGCACATTGTCACCCGATTCAGCATTTATTCAGCACTGAGCAGCAGCTATGTGCCAGAAACTAAGTTAACTGGTTGATTATTATAATCATAATAATTATACATATTATTAATTGAGCCCTTACTATGTGCAAAACATGACTGAGGACCTTCCCATCACTGTCTTATTTCATTACTAAACCCAGTCATCGGGCCGGGTAGATGGCTCAGTGGAATAAGTGCTTCCCTGGCAAGTGAAAGGGCCTGAGTTCAATCCCCGGTTCCGCCAAAATAAATAAATAAATAAATAAATAAATAAATAAATAAATAAACCCAGTCATTATATTGTAAAGTCCCCATCCAGGCAAAGGACTGCCACTGCAGGACTGAAGGACACTTACTTTTGTGATGATCAAAACTAGAGAAATTTTGTTTCAAATTCAGGTTTTGCTGTCAATGTGCTGTGTGACCTTAGATAATTCACTGGTCCCCTGGCCTTAGGGGCTGTACCTGTAAACTGTATTTCCAAGAAGGGATCCAGCGAGAGAGGGAATTTCCTACCATCGTGCCTTCACCCAAGCTTTTCCTTATGCCTTTCCCCCGCTCCTGTACTGGAATAAATAAGTGAACTTCATCTATCTGTGGCAGAAATGTTTACTAAGCCCTGAGTCCGCCGACTCCTTTGGTAACAAACGTGGCATAGATCCTCCAAGGCCCCCTAGACTACTGGCTGGATCAACCCATCACCAGCTGCAAGGCAAGGACCCAGCTCTTGCAGCTCCTGGCCCGGCCCAGAAAAGAGAACAAGCTTTGGGCACCATCCGAGAGGCCTGGGTGGGTCACCCAGCTTCTCTGAGCCTCATAATTCTTATCTATTAACAGTGATCATTTCTACCTCAAAAGGTTACAGGGAGGTAAACAAGGGCAACATCATAGCACTTGCAGCATTCCGACTTGGGGCTCCTGAGGTTGCTGCTAGGTGGGTCTTGGCTGTGAGGAGGTAGCAGACCCAGGTTCTAGCACAGGCTCTGCCGCGGCGTGCTGTGCAGGCTTGGAGAAGTTGCTGCTTCTCTCTGAGCATCTACTACAAAACGCAGGCGGGTGTTGAATGAGATGATACGTCTCATTACATACTCAGTGGGTTTGGCTACTTGCTCCTGTGTCTCACCCCCTGCCATGCCCCATTTACCTTGTAGCCCCCAAATATACCAACCTAAGAGACCCGAGAAGCAGGCCGAGGGCCAGCAGGCCTGGCGCGGTGTGTTTGCAGCTGGGGTGTTGTAACAGCCTGTCTGAGCCCGACTGTGGGTGGCCTGGGCAGTCTCCCCTTGCTATGCCCCCTGGCCTGTCCCCACCCTCAAAGGCAGGGGCAGGGACAAACTGGGTGTGTCCCCATGCCACAGAGCAGCCTCAGACACAGTTTCCTGACTTCACCTCTAGGGGAGCCTCCTGTCTGCTTCCAGGAGTCCCAACTGGGTGGACTTTGACCACACAGAGGCGAATATCATCACCTCCATGAGGTCCTGGCGGCCAACAGCCCCCACCTCTGCCCAGCAACTGTCCACAGGACCATGCCTCACATGTGCTCAGTGCTCATGGCTCTCACTCCCCACTTCGGGGATCATAATGAGGGGCAGAGCCAGTGCCCTCCCAGCTGCGCAAGCCCCCTCCCCCCCCAGCAGGCCGCCAGGGCCTCCAGCCTGTCTGGGTCGCCTTGCTGCTCTGGGCTATGTACACGGGGCTGCCCAGCGCCCACCCTGCTATTTGCCTTCACCAGCTTCCTCCCTCTGCTTTGGGCCCATTTTCTCAGTTTTAAATGGGAAAGATTATATGAGCAACAGCAAATCCAACATGTGGCACTCTATCACCCTGCATAGCCGCCTTCCAGGGTTTTAACCTAGGCTCCTGCCCTAGACATGAAGTGGGGTGACTGGGGCAAAGCTTTTCCTGGCAAGTGCAGGGCAGGCAGTAGGCTGGCTGCTGTGGCTCTCGGGATGGGCTCTGAGGTATAGCTGCCTGGCTTTTACTGACTGGGAAGCCCCTCTGAGGTCTCAGCTCCTCCCCGAAGGCAGCAGGCAGCAGGCAGCAGCCTCCTCTGAGCTACCCAGGCACCTCCCAGAGGAGGCTCAGACCCCCCCAAAGGATGGTAGGAAGCTGTTCTGCAGACCTCTGGAGGTAGGGTGCAGCCATCAAAGAGCTCCAGGGACTGCTTGGGGGTTGGGGAACCTGTGGGTGGGACAGGCATGCCAGTGGCCGGGTGGAAGCAGCCTGGCCCCATTGTGGGGGCCGCCTGCCCACAGAAGCCCCAAGCCAAGGCAGCGACTCCACTGCCCAGGAGGGCCCAGCGGTCATCTGGTAATTAGTGGTAATGACCGTTTCTAACTAAATCCCCTCTGGGGAGGTAATCAAGGATTAGGGCAGCAGGCAAGGAAGTCACTGGTGTGGACATCTCCCCAGGCTTGCCTCACTAGCAGACTCCTAATTGGAAACACTCTGGTTTATCTAGGGGAGAGGGCGTGGGGGAGCGGGTAGAAGGAAGGACAGGAGGGAACAGAGAGTTCACCGGTGAGGCCTGTGCCAGGGGCTCTGCACGGGTGGCGGCAGGAGCTGGGGCTGACTCCAGGGTGACCTGGCTCAGCTACTCACCTTCTTGGTGACCTTGGTAAGCCACTGACCTTTGCCCACCTCAGTTTCCCCATCCATAGCAATCAGTGCCCATGACTAACGTGAGGCTCCCAGTGCCAGGGCATTTTGTTTTCTTTTCTCTCTTTTTAAAAATTTTTGAGACAGGGTCTCACTTTGTAATTCAGGGTAGTTTTGAACACACTACATAGTCCAGGCTGGCTGTAAACTTGGAATAATCTTCCTGCCTTGGCCCCCTGAGTGCCGTTATTGCGGAAGTGAGACACCCAACCTGGCCAGTGAAGACATTTCACAGTAGCACAAGTTGGACAAATAGCTTTGCCTTCCACCCGTGGCCCTTCCACCCGTGGGACAGCCCTCCCTGTCTTTCCTGTCCCACCAGCTTATCCCCATGCCTCCCAGGGGTTCTTCCCGCCCCGAGGCTTCTGCAGGCCTAAAGCACACTTACGCTGTGCCCTGCTAAGCCATGGTCCAGAGCTGCCAGTAACCGTGCCCTCAGGCATCGGGCCCAGGTGAGGCCACCTTCCGTCCCAATGGGGCCCACTCTCCACCCCACCATCCCTGTACCCTGAGTGCAGGGCAGGGGGAGTTCCCAGCCCAGGGCTTCATTCTGCAGCACAGCTGCTCCGGCTGCACAGTGCCAAACCCTTCCATTAACTGGGACATCCTTGACAGAGTGGGGGTCCCAAGATCTGGGAAGGGCCCCTCATTCTCTTGCAGGGAGGGATGGGACAAAGTCAACTGTTAGGGGCAGGGTCGGTCTTGACACCAACGGCCACACCTCCAGGGTGAGGAGGAGCCGGGACGGCTTCGGGCTGGCCCTGGAAGGGGTATAAATCTTGCCCAGGAAGCCTGGTGATTCTGCCAGTAAGGACCATGCTGACCTGTCATAGGGTAGCAGTGGATTCCGAGGAGAACCTGCTCTCCAAGCCTGATACGGGTATACCCCACTCACTTACTGCCCTTTAGGCTGCTCTTGGTCGTGCCTCATCTGGGTGCCCAGGGAATAGGGAGGACAGAAGAGCAACTTGGGCTTCAGGCTGACCAAGCAAACAGCCCAGCTCTGGGCTTCCACCTACCCCACTCCCAGAGTGGCCTCTGGGAGCCTTGCCTGCGACTACAAGCCATGGTGCACCAGCAGGTCCTGCATCTAGGAACCAGGGCTCAGAGCTGCCCCCTATCTCCCACCACTACAGGCTCAGGAACGGGAGACCCCCAGGTTGCATGGCCTGAGAGTCCTCCTGTTCCCTCTCAGGCCTCTGTCCCAGGACTTCAGAGCCAAGAGAAGCCAGGCCAGCTCCTACCCTATACCATACAGATGAGGAAACCGAGATTGATGAAGGCCTGGAGCCTGCAGATCCCACTCTGCGTAGAAGGCACTGCCAAGACCTCAGGGGAAGAGTTCAGGCCAAGACCTCCCATCTGGTCCTGCGCCCCACTTTGCATCAGCTACATCCCCTCTAATCCCTCCCAGGACTTCCTGAGAGGCCCCACCCCTTTGTGAGTGGCAGGTGTGGGCCTACCCAGGGTGGGAGCACTCTGCCATCCTGGGCCTGACCTCCAAGGCAGTTGTGATGGTTCACAGGAGCTGGGACCACCCTTTCCTATCCAAAAGCAGCCAGCAGGGGTGGGCAACCCAGACTCCTCCATGCCTGTTGATCTGGGTTTTCATAGAACCTGGCTTGAGAGGGTTCTGGGGTTTCAGAGGCAGGCACTCCTGTGGGCGGGCAGGACCTGACCCTGGTCTACCTGCTCAGGCTGTCTCAAGTGCCCGCAGATGGACATCCCAGGCCACTTAGCCACATCTGGCTTCAGTCTCTGTGCTATATGTCCCTTTCATCACCAGGTCATTTCCCAAAGCCCAGGTGCTGCCCCAGGACAGCTAATCCTTTACGATGAGTCCCCACCCTTCCACCCCCTCTGTCCAACTGGCCTGAGGTTTCCTGTGAATGTAACCAGACTGCCCAACTCAAATCTTGCCTCTATTACCCACTGGGTGCCACAACCTGTTGGTTAAAGAACACCCTCAAGCCTATTTCCTCTTCTGTATGAGTTGGACAGTGGCAGAAGCCACGGCACAGTGTGGTAGAGAGATTAAAAAGAAACCACACACATCAGGTTTTCAGAACTGTGCATAGTAGGCAGCAAGCCTGCATGCATACCTGTCTGCGCATGCGTGTATTATGTACACATGTGCAACTCATTCTTAAACTCCACCCCTTCTCCCACTTCCCCTCACCTTCAGCTCCAGGGAAAGCTGAGTTATTAGCAAGAGATCTGGCCCCTTGGAACCCACCAGCCTGTTCTCTGGTCCTAGAGCCACCACGAATCAGCTTTGGGAGCTTGGGGAATTACTTACCATCTCTGTACCTTAATTTCCTCACTTATAAATGGTAATGATAAAACTACCACATTAGAGTAGCAATAAATTCAATGGTGACAGCTCTTGGAGCCCTGTCTGGGCACTTGCTAGCAGGTGCTTGTGGCTCCTGGTGTCTACAAGCTTCCCTCAGGACAGCCCTGCCTCCTTCATCTGCCCCTGCTGCCACTCCTGCCTGTTTTCATGCCATCTGTGCCCTCACAACCTGTTCTGTCCTTATAAGTCCAGCTGCGGTCACCTCCCTTGGGGGGAAGGGCAGCCCCTTCTCTGGGTCCCCATGACCCCTCTCTCAGGACACAGACCGCTGTTCACTTTGTACTTTCACACCTCCCTCTCCCCAGGCGCCTGGGAGAGGTTGAGTGCACCTTCTCCTGTCGAAGCCGGCTGTGTGGTGGGGATGACCTGGTGTCTGCCAGCGTGGGGCTGCCCTGCGTTACACCTGCTCAGAGCCTCAGTACCCCCAGTGCAGGGCAGGGATGACAACAGTGTCCTGGACTCCTGGACTCCCCCAGTGTCCTTTGAGCACTCAAAGTCACTCAAGCCCAGTTCCTGGCCTCTGGAATTCCTTGTGCCTTTCTGTAAATCCTTTCCAAATTGGGGCAGCAGTAGGTGAAAGGGACTTCCCTCACTGACTGCAGGGTCTGTTGGAAGGAAGAACGCTGGGTGCTCCACAGCAGGAGGAAGGTGGGGGCTTCTCAAAAAGCTCATGGGGAACAGCATGCCATAGACCACCCGGCCAGGCTTCTCCTTGTAAAGAGGAAGCACAAGAAAACGGGGTTCTGCTACTCTTGAGTCACCAATTAATCGATAACTCAGCCCAGAAGGAGAAGGGGCAGGGCCAGTGACCTGGAGAATGTTTGCTGGTGGCCCAGCCACTGTGGTGCAGTCTTTCAGCTAATTCACAAAGCCTCTGAAGGCCCCTCCCAGCCCCATAATGTGTCCCCTGCTGTTTTATCTGCTGCTTCCAGCCTGCTGCACCAGCTCTGCTGCACCCGTGTCCTGTCCTGGACTCCTCACCCCAGGCCTTTGCTTCTTCAACAGGGAGGTCCTCTTCCTTAGAGCTCTGCATCCAGCTCCCTCCAGCTCCACAAGAACCAGGACAAACCCTGGAGAATCTAGAGTCCCCATCTCTCTCCTCTCTCTGGGCCTCCACACCGAGGCATTGGTCTCTCCTGGGCACTTGGACATTTGTGGAGTTATTTACAGCCAGGGCTTATCTCTCCCAGCCCAGGGCAGCTCCTCCAGGAAGGGCTGGTGTCACTCCTCCATCCTGCACAGCTGGGCCAGTGCACACTCCTGCAGACAGGAGGCTCTCCCACTGTCTCCCAGGGCTCATTTGTACCTACAGGAACAAGTGCCCACACCTGATAGCTAAGGGTGTCTGTCTCTCAGGAGTCCCTTCTCCAATGCTAGCTTGGAGGAACTTGGAGATCATCCTCCTCGGACTGAGGACCGCACCAAGGCTCTCAAAAGTGGTGACACTTCCCCAAGGTCACCCAGGTGCAGGGGTCAAGACTGCCTTTCCGGACCTCCAGCTAGGGCCAAGGAGGTTGAACAGAAACTGTTGAGTGGGACCCTGCGTCCAGAAAAGACCCTCCTGACTGCGTCCCTGGACAAGGCTGTCTTTGCAGAGCTTCGCTGCGAAGGCCCGCAGCGCCTCCTGTCTCGGACGCAACAATTCACTCGCCCCAGTTCGCTAGGGGGGGATTTTACAGAGGAAGAAACTGAGGTTTAGGATGATATTCCAAAGACTCCCAAGTCGATCAGGGATCTTGGGGCTGCGGACGCTGGCCCAACCCCCGGGGACTCCTTAACGCCTTCCACTGCGCCCCACCGCCCTTCCTGGCCATCGGTGGACGACCCTACTTACAGCCACTTGATGCCATAGCACACGCCGGTCTGGAGTGCCAGGGCGAAGAGCAGCGCCTCGCAGACCTGCGGCCGCGCCCTCATCGTCGCGCGGTGGGTGCGCCCGGGGTCGCACCCAGCAGGAGCAGCGCCGAGGTCTCACCGCCTGCACGGCCACCGCTGCTGGTCCTGCGCGCACGCCGCCTGCAGTGGGGAGAGCGGGGCGGCGCGTTGAGCCAGGCGGGCGGTGTCTTATTCAAATTACAAAGGAGGGGTCGACGGGGAGAACGAGCGCTTGGCGCTCGCCCCTCCCGCCCCTGTCACCCGGACCCGCCGCGTCTGGCTCGAATTAGGTGCTGCGGCGGGGGGGGGGGGGGGGGGGGGGACAGGCACACAGACACCAACCGACGGGCGGAAAGAAGAGTCAGGGATCCTGGAACCTGGACCCTGGCCTGGGATCTGGGTTCTCATTCCGGCGGCGATATTACTAGCTATATGGCCTTACCAATTCTCCTGCCCACTGGGCCTCAGTTTACCCTTCCTGTAAAATGGGGAAATGGGGGTGATTTTGGGTATAATTCTTTTTTTTTTTTTTTTTTTGGCGGAACCGGGGATTGAACTCAGAGGCTTGGCGTTTGCCACGCAAGCGCTTATTCTACTGAGCCATCTCCCCGGCCCTCACCTTTTATAAAGAACGTTCTCCTAACACAATCTCGCCTTTGCTCTTCCCAGCAGCTCTGGGACAGGAACAATCTCTGAGGAAACAGAGGCCCAGACGGGTGAAATGGGTTGTTCAGCTAAGGAAGCGCAGATCTGAGCTTGGGGCTCTGTTCTAAAGCCTACGGATGTCCGATGAGCTCACATGGGACAAAGGGGCTTGTCTCGGAAGGGAAGGATGAGAAAGGGGGCAAAAGGCTTCTTACACAGCCAATGAACAACCGCCCCGCGCCCGCGGGTGTGTGAGATGTTGCCTGCGGCCGCCAGGGGACGCGCCAGGGCCTCAGATGGGCCGCCACCCTCGCGTCACAGCCGGCCGAGCTGCTTTCGGCGGCCTCTCCCCCTCTTCGTTCTCACCTCATTAACTCCCTTCCCAGCTTCTCCCAAATTTACCAACACCTGGCCTCGCCCGGAGTTACACACAGCCTAGCCCCGCTCCCCGCGGGAGGAGCAGAGACAAAGGGATTCCTTTCTAACGTGTTTGCACTTGGAAAAGGAGGTGCCCGACCTCGTGTCTGTGTTGGTGGGGGGGGCCGCTGGAGCAGGAAGGGGGGTCCTCGGCTGACTGCCCTTTGGCGCCTTCAACCACCCCAGCCTCAGTTTCGCCTTCTATGAAACAACGGACTGATGTCTCCATAAAACACGTTTCCTGAAGCCATTCAAGCCTCTCGGGCCTGAGTCTTGGAGCTGCCCTTGGCCTGCTTCCACTATTCCGTGTACCTGTGTAGTATGTGTGCGTATGCGCGCGCGCTCGTACACCCCTCCGCTATTTGGGGGGCCTTCTGGCATAACTCAGCGGAAGGCAAGGAAAAAACCCTGAATTACACTTTTCCTCAGACACAGTGTCCCCCAAGGAAGCACCCAGCACAGAGACGCTAGGGTCTCAGCGGAGTTTCCCACCACGGATGTCTCCAAAGCCTTTGTCTCACTGTGCTGGGAGTTTACCGCAGCTCTCAGAACAGACAAGCATCGGTTTGGGCGACGGAGTGGGGGTCGAACTACAGTCATTGCCCCCCACCCCCGCGCAGGCGCCCCGCAAGGCACCAAATGTCCCAGGGTGGGGAGGAGGCAGGGGCTGCACGCAGAAGGGGGCGCTCAGACTTACAGCGGGAGCAGTGTTTGCTCGGCTCTGCAGAGGCCGGCTGCTCGGGTCGCACGGAGGAACAAGACCCAGGCCTCCAGCCACTCCTTGCGCTGTCCCGGCAGCCCCAGCCCGGCCCGGCTTCTCCCTCGCTGCCCCAGATCGCTCTGGGGGAGGCGACTCTTGGCCTGGGCCTCTAGCCCTGACAGATTATTCTTGTCCCATGTAAGAACGTCCAGGACAGCCACGCGGGCCGCCGGGTCACCCTCAGCCAGTATCCTGCAGGTCAGCGCGCTTGCTGCCCGGAGCACCCGCCCGCTAGGGGGCGCTAAGCCCAGGTTCAAGGTGGGATCGCTGAGGCGTCCGGCACCGTGGGACTTTAGGCGAGACTTCTCTTCCTGCGCCAAGGATCCGGTCTGGGCATGGGATGCAGTGTGGAGTGAGTGCCCTCTCAGCCCCGGTCATCCTGTAGGACATGCACTTGCCCCGATGATCAGGCTTGCCTGACCGGCCCCCTGCTGCAGGCCCTGCGCGGAGCCTCCTGGAATCGAGCGCGCAGTGGACCTGCGTCACAGCGCAGCGTCTATGGAAGGACAGAGGTCCCGTCCTACCCCACCCTGGAATAGGTCCAAGACACCCCACCTGCAGCAGGGAGTGGAAGAGGTCGCCCCAGGCTGTGCACCAATAGGACACCGCAAGAGCAGCCGCTCCAGCGCCGCGCTGTCAACAGGTGGTCCTAAGACTTGGGTCATGGTTCCTAGAAGCCCTGCCGCTCGGGCAGCCTCTCCGAGCCCAGCTGGGGAGACATGCAAAGCCTCAGTTTCCCAGATGCGTCAGTGCTAGGCCTGGACCGGGCTCCGCGTGCGCAGAGGCAGGGTCCACGCCTTGCACAAGGCCGGCGCCCGCCGGTGCGGAAGCCTCAGACAGCGCAGCCCTCAAAACAGAGGGGGCGATCCAGGGACGCTGAGCGACAGCTTCAACGTTATCTGCAAGGCGGAGAGAGACCTGGCCAGCAACCTGGCTGTGACCACAGCCTCGAGCCCATCAGGATCTATCTGCTGGTCTGTGGTCGCCGCGGCGACTCGGTGTTTTGCAAGTGGGTAGCATGGGTGGGGAGCTCTGGAATCCTCCTACCCCGACTCTGAACGCCCAAAGGCCGTGCGGGACACGGCACCTCAGAGCGGGGGTGGGGATGGAGGTGCGGGGCTCCGGCACAAGCTCAGCCAGATGTTCCGGGAGGCTGCAGATGCGCAGTGGGGCGGAGTACAGGACTCTCCCTCCTCCCCAAGCCTCAGCCTGAGGCTCAGGTCTGTAAACAAAGTCGATTCTTCCCCTCCCTGGTTGCCGTTGGGAGCCGCTCACAAAACGGCGCCCACTCTACACCTCCCAGTTTGGTAGAAGCCGCCGAAGTTCTCTGCCTTTGCCACCCTCTCCAGCCTCGCCACACACACCCTGTGCCGCGGTATCCAAGTCCCCCACCCCCGGGATGGCTCGGGCATGACCTCATCTGCGGGCAGGCTGGGAGGGAGGGGGTCGAGGCCCGCGGTAGGGGACAAGGCCGGAAAAGCTCGGAGAGGGCCGCAGGCACCGAGCGGCCCACCCCTCCCCAGCCCCTCCCCAGCCCCTCCGGGGCGCATCCTCAGGCCCAAGAGGCTTCGCTCACTCGGAAAGAGAAAACTCCTCGGAGTGCCGAGGTGGAGAACTTGGAGAGGGACTTGGTTTGCTTCCCCGTGCCCCAGGGGGTCGCGGCGGGTACCCAAGAAGCGCCATCACCTTCTCCCTCTGCGCCCTGCGCCCTAGAGGATCCTGGCTGAACCAGGATCTCCTGGTGGAGACCACTGCTCACTGCTCACCTCTCGGGGTGCTCTCCTGTCGCGCCCTGCGTGTCCCGCTGTCCCGGTCAGTCCCAGGAGCGGAGAGCGCGGCGTCCAGCGCGCCGAAGCGCACTTGAGCTAGCGGCGAGGGCGCCCTCTGGTCGAAATGGCAGGGGAAGGACGCCGGGAGTCTGGCACCCAGCGGCAGGTTCGGGTGCTTCAGACGGTAGCGCGAGGCGGGCTCGCCCCCGGCCTGCGCCTGCCTGCTCCCGCTGCTCTCCCCGTGCCGGCGCGATCTGCAGCGCGGGCCGCCCCATCTGCTTTATAAGGCGCGGGCGGCCGCTTTGATCCGCCCACGTCAGCAGGCCGAAACCCCACCGGGTGGCTCGCGCGGGGGGCGGGGGAGGGTCCTTGCGGGCGCCTCGGACCCACGGCGCCCGTCAGCCGCTCCAGACGACTTCGCTCACACCCTGCTGAGGTACAGAGGCGGGCTTGCTCGCCGCAGCTGGTGTTTACCGAGCGCGCCTGCTGCATACCTGCTGAGTGCCAGAGGCGCTGGGGCCCACGTAAGGCCCATCTGGAATTCTCGCAGCAACCGGACAAGGAATCCGAACCCAACAGAGGAGTGTCGAACCTGGATCTCAGTCTGGCATAGGCGTTTGTCTCTCAGCTTGCTCCTTACAGGTGCCAGCGAGCGTAAGACTGGAGCTCCTGCCTGGGTTCTGGTCCTTCGCGGCGCCATCTCTCTTGGCCTCTGATTCTACTTCTAGGGTCAGGTCAACGATCCCATTTTCTCAGCAGAGAAGGGAGGCACTGTAAACCTTAGGCGCCAAATTTGGCTAGGGATTCCTCCGCGACTGTTGAGGAGTCTTCGAAGGTAAAGGGAAGGAAAGTTATAGGGCAGCCTAGGGCTGGGCCACCCCTTCCCCCAACCAGACTGAACAGCAAACTCTAGGTCGGGTCCTCCCTATCTCTCATTGTCTACAGGGTTCTTCGGTTTCAAAAGCTCCTGTCTTCCCCTCCTTCTAGGAACTTCATCAGAATATTCTTGAGTGAAAGCTAGCTCAGTAGCAGAAAAGGAAATGGAAACCTGGTGAGAAGGAAACCCTTTGGGGGTCCCAAAGGGTGCCTAATATTTTCCACATTCTGTGCAGGCACAAATGAAGGGCACTCAGAGGCTGCCCCCTAACCTGATCGCAGGTACACACAGCACACAATGCTCATGCCAGCCTTTGAGCCCCACAAGTGCCACCACACATGGGCAGCCAGTCCTGCTTGCACATAGAGCTGGGACATGCGTTGCCAGTGGTCACATGCACAATTCTCAGCAGATCCTTAGACACACCACACACCCACACACACCCAGGAGCACACCGTTGAGAATGGCCACACACATTCATCAGGAGGAGGCTGGACACAGACTGCCTCCAGTCGATTCATGTACACACATGCTTGCAGGTGCGGTAAAACACACAGTTCCCCAGCCTGCAGCACCCACTAAGCTCCTGCACAGTCACAGTACTGCCCTTGCCAGCACATCCTGGGACACCCACATCCCCCAGCCCAGAACACTGGGATCAGACCATAGAAGCAATAGGAAGCAGTGGGGCTTTGGGTGGGGCATTTAGGAAGTGAGGGAAGAGCAAGGCTGTTCCAGCAGAGAGGCTGGAACAAGGGCCTCCAGGGACTCAGAGGTGACCCTGCTTCCCCCTGCTCCACCATTACTGCGCTAGAGCCATTCTAGGTGGCCTGTCTGATTAGGATGCACTCTTACTTTTATGGGAAGTGAGTTCAGTAGACTCCAAACCTTTGCATGAGTAGTGCTTTCACCAGAAATCCTATTCCTAGCTGGAGCAGTACCAAAGCAATCTGGAATCACAATACAGATTTTGGGTTGCACTATAGATTTTGCCCAGTTTTATTTGTAGCTGTATGTGATCTTGAACAAGTTGTTTAAACTCTCCAAGGCTTAGTTTTCTTTCCTTTAACAGGAAAATAATGCAATCGCACAAAATCTGCTACATTCCCCACAATCAAGATTAGTGTCCCCATTTCACAGATGTGAAGGCAGAGAGTCAACAGGAGGTCTTTTCAGATCTCTCAGCTCATAGTCCAGTACAGCTGTTGCTGCATAGTGAAGAAGCTGAGAAGGAGGTGTTAACTTCCCACGGTCTCATCAGACTTGGAGGAGGCCAGGAGGCAGTTCCAACTCTCACATCCCTCCTCTCCCAGCTGCCCAGCTCTGTTCTGAAGGTAAGAACCTAAGCTCAGCTAAGGCTGGAAACTCCTTGCAGGGGAGGGAGGTATTGGGGCGGTTGGTGGGGGGATTTCTAGCTTGGACTGAAAGTCAGAAAGGGCTTTCCCACCTTATCCCCAGGCTGCTTGGCTGCTCAGTGGATTCCCTGAGGCACTTGCAAGAGGCGTTAGTTTCATCCTTAGAATACGTTGACCTTTCCCCTTCCCTTTTGATTCTTCCTCCTCACTGCTGGGCCCTGTGCTGCCCACTGGGGCTGCAGGCTCAGGGTAGGGCAGGCGCACTCCTGTGGCTGCTGCCACGGGGGTGGCTATATTCCCCTTTCCTCAGTCAGTGATTCTAGTTATCTGATTGTGAGCAGAGCTGAGAGTTTCCTGCTAGCCAGAGTCACAACCCCTGCCAGACTGCCACTGGCCAAGGGCACATCTCTTTCCAGCACCAGCTTCCCCATGCCCTGCCCCGGAAGGCACCGAGGCTGAAAAGGTGAAGGGGTAAGGGCAGCAGCTGCAATTCCGCTCACCAGGCGGACTGCCACTGACCCCTCCACTCACCTCCACTTCCTTCCCTGGGGGCCAAAGCCTTGATGGGGAGGAGAGGGCTGGTGGGCTATTTCCAGGGGCCCTGGGGGGTGGCTGGTCTCCCGGAGTGGGCACTGCCACTCCTGGGCTCTGTGAAAGCAGGTATAGTCTGTTTGTTCTGAGCTTCCATCACTACTACATGAAAAGTTGGACTGGGAAACCTCCATGGGCTTTTTACCTCTAGATCCCAAGTCTTAGTCTCTTGGCCAAGCTGTCACAAGACGAGGCATGAACGTGAAGGAAGCTCACAGATACTCTCCTCTGCCCGACTGCAGCCTTTTTTGAGATGCCTGATTTTGGTCCTAGATTACGCTGGCTGACAGCTCCCCATCAAGTTCCCAGGTGGACACAGAGAGACGTAAGGGTGTTCTTTCCAGCCCAGACTCTTTGAGAAAGGCCTGCCTGAGAAGCCAGATGAGCAGGGGTCCGTGCAGTGCAGCCTGGCTCAGCTGTCTCCTGCCCTAGGAGTGACAGATCCTCTGAACTTGGGGGTCACGGATCCAAATGGTCGCACAGCGCCTGGCCTGGCTCTTGGATTCAGTGGCTTAACTGCTGTGATCTTTGCCATCAACTTTTGCACAAACCCACTGCCTCCTGAGAGGCGGGTGGCATGAAGGAAAGCAGTCATGTGCCCTCGGGACTGCGCCTGTGGGGAGACAGGCACCGCCTGCTATGCAGGCCAGCCCCTCAGCCAGGCCTGGCGGGAAGTTTATGTCAGACCCTACAACTCCGGAGTGAGCCTGGCTGCACACCAGGGACTGCGGGCCTGGCCTGTCCTCCTCCTCCTGCTCCTTCTCCTTGGGACCTCATGGGAGGTATTGTTATTCTACAGCACACAGGGAGCAGCCTGGGGCCAGGGCCAGTGGAGCGGTTTCTTCCCTGGGTGCACATAGCAAAACACCACCCATCATGTCTGTGAGGGCGTCACTTCTGAAAGACCGCTTTCAACTGGCAATTGTTTCATGTGCTGGTGGCTGCTGAGGAGACAATGTTTGTGTTTCTCAGGCCTCTTTTAGCTCCAGGAGAGAAACCCAACCTTGACTAGCTTGAACACAAGACACTGACTGGCTAGGCTGCCTCAGGAGCCATCAGGGTGGCATGAGAGGGATGGAGGAAGAGCTAGGCTCACTTGGGCCTCCGAGGCTGTGTGGCTAAAACTCCTTTCTGTTTCTTGCTGCTCTCTGAGCATGTGGGGGGCCTCATTTCTCCTCCCTGGGAGAAGGACCCCTACAACCCCTACAATTCCAGTCAGATGAAACCCTCTGTCTCCTTCTTCTGACAGTCCAGAGGAGGGGCTGATTGGCTGCTTGAATCATATGCACTCCCTTTGAGTGATAGCTGTCATTGGCATGAGGAGGAGCCTTGGGGTTGGCCAGGGCCAGCACTTGTCACCAGAAGAGGTGCAATATGGAACAGTGGGCCCCGGGGCAAGGTCCTCAAGATGGCAGTTTCTTCTACATTCAGACTTCCACTTGCCTAATTTGAACACAGTTCATTGTCTACAAACAGCTGGGGACAGAGGAGGGAGATTCACCCCTTTGCCCCCACAGGGCCAAAGACCCACCATGCCCAGTGCCTCCACTGTACATGCAGGGACACTGAGGCTGAGAGAAGGGAGCAGTCTGTCATGCATCCCTCAGTGGGAGGTGCGGATGCAGGGAAATCCATTCTTGTGCCCAGCCCAGAAGCCTTGTGGTCATTTGTCACTGGTTCTGGACCCTCCTGGGAAGGCCAGTGAAGCAGCTTCTTAACAGCACTGATTCCTCCCATCTCAGGACACACGGACCTCTCTGGAATGTGGCTCCACCCACAGGCGAAGCAGATTTCCCTACACTTGAACCTGGCTGGCTTCTGGCTTACTTGCCTCATGCGTGGGCAGGAGGTGAGCAGCGCTGTGCTGGAGCCGAGGCCTCGAGACCTCTCATCTTCTTGGGGCACAAATGGCTGTATGCCTATCGGCCAGCTGGACCCCAAGCGGTCCAAGGTCTGCACAGAGACAGGCCCTGTGGCTGACCCACCAAACACAGTGGCGTGACTAGGCTCAGCACGGTCAGCTGAGCACCCCGGGGGACCTACAGAAGCCTGAGAGGCTCT